AAAGCCTGAAGCTATAATAATGAATCTCTGTAGGAGCACCCAAAAGCTTGAGGTTTACGGTCCTGTGTCTTACACGTGCTTGATAAATCACTTATTGCTGATGCCCTACTTCAGTAAATAATCATCCTTTTGCTCATCACTACTAGGCACAGCTCTAACATCCCAAGTAGTACTTCTGGAAGTACCGACTTAGCCAGTTTTTTCCCCCCGACTACCAGTTTCCCCCCTAGCCTCAACAAACACGCGTGCTAACCGCTCACAGACGCGGATTCACCCTCCCACGTGCGCCCCGAAAGCCTCCCGCCGCCGCCGCTGCACACCACGTGCGGCCGCCCCCTCACCTCCTCCCCGCTGCTCTCCTCCAGGTCGGAGGACTCCTCCTCCTCGCTCTCCTCCACCTTTTTGGGGGCGGCGGAGCCATCTTCTTCTGCTTCACTTGGTTTTTGGGAGTCTGGGGGGGAAAAAGAAAAGAGATGGGGGGGGTTGGGGACACGGAGCCGTCATGCACCGCCAACACGTGGCCGTTCCCGGGCGCGCGCCCGCACGTGCTCGCGCGCCCCACGTGGCCGCGCCTCCCCCCCCCCCCACTCCGCGCGCCCCCTCCCAATAGAAATAAAAAAAAAAAAAAAGGGGGGGGGGAGGAGAGGAGGGGGGGGGGCTTGAAACCGCTCCCGCCGCGCGCGCCCCTCCCCTCGCCGCCATCTTCCCGCTGAGGGCATTGGGGGGGGGCCTGGAAACCGCCGGCGGCGGGAAGGCAGCGCCGGGACCCCCCCCTCCAGGTGCTTTAATCCCCCCCCCCCCCCCCTCGATCTCCGCTCCCGGTCCCGCTCCCCTCAGCGCGGCGATGGCGGCGCTGGGGCAGGCCCCGCGCGCAGGCCTCACCTTGGCGATCTTCACCATGATGGCGGCGGCGGCGGCCTGAGGAGGCGCAGGGGCGGCGGCGGCGGCGGCCGGGCTGGCTCGGGGATAAAAAAAGGAACGGGGAGAGGCGAAAGAACCCGAGGGGAGGCGGCGGGGCGGGAGCGGCGGCGGAGCGCGGCCGACCCGGAGCGGCGGCAGCGGGGAAAAGAGCGAGCGCGGGGCCCTTCCGCTGCCTCGCCTCGCCCCTCAGCTTCGCCCCGCCCCCTCCGCCCCCGCCTCAGCCAATCGGAGCGCGAGCTGCGCGGCGCGGCCAATCGGCGCCTCCGCCCCGCGGAGGTCTGAGCCAGTCGGAGGCGCTGTGGCATCGGCCAACGGGAGGCGGCGTTACGGATGGTGGTGTGCGTGGGGAGGGGAGGGGGGGGAACGGGAGGATGGCGGCAGCCAATGGGAGGCGGGGGAAGCGCGGGGGCTGAGCGCTGATTGGGCGGCGGGGGCCGGAGGGGGGTGGGAGGGGCTGGGGAGCGGGGAGAGCACGTGGCGCGCGGCGGGACACGTGGTGGGGGGGGCTGGGGGCGCTGGGGCTGCGGCTGCGGAGCGGGGGACCCGGGTTCGAGTCCCGGGTCCGGATCCCAAGCCCTGTCCCCATCCCTGTCCTTGTCCCTGTTCCTAGTTCTGGCTCAGCCCCCTCCAGGCTGTGCCCCCAGCAGCGAGCAGCCTGGATTTGGGGTTTTATTCATCCATCCCCAATGGGATGGGGTTGGGGTCTCCCTTGTGCTGCCCCCCTAATGCCCCTTGTGCTGCCCCCCTGGGCTATAATGCAGGGGGGGGAATAACCCGTGCTTGCCCTATGGATGGTTTTTAATTCATCCACCAAAAAATCCTCCTCCCGTAGGGTTTCGCCACAATATCAGTGAGGATGGGGGATAAATAACCCGCTGGCGGTGCTGTTCCCAGGCCCCTGGGTGCCCCCTCCAGCTGCCAACAGGGCGTGCAGCCCCCCCTGGGGCTCCTGGCAGGTCCCACACGTGCTGCAGGAGCCAGCCCCGAGCACCCAAAAATTTGGGGTGCAGCCCTGCCCCGCAGCCCTGCCGCCGCCCCGAGCCTCAGCGATGAGAGGAGTTTGTGGAGCGGCACCAGCGGGGCAGTAATTGGGCCAAAATGGGAGGATTTGCAGCTCCATCCGAGGAGTAGAAGTATTTTAGGTGCTTCTCTGCCTGGGATTAACGCATTAAATAGGGCCAGGCGGGCTCTGGGCCAGGTGGCTGAGGGCATTTGCTCGCAGAGCACGCTGTCAGGCCCTGATTTGATTTGTTCCTCTGGTGGCCACGCACCATTTGCCTTCATTACCTTCCCTGTCCCATGCCATAGCCCAGTCATGTCGCATCTGTCCAATAAAGGGCCCATTAATGGGATTTACATCCCGTTGTCACTTTCTGCCTTGTCCAGGACAATGGGCTCCCTGGGCGTGCTGTCGCTTGGAAAAAGCAGGTTTGTTTGTTTGTTTGTTTCACAGGTAGGCTGAGCGGGATAAATAACCTCCTAGGGCTGTTTATGGCTAGGTTTAGCTTCGTGAAGTTGAATTTCTCCCAAAGATTTGATTCATGGCTTGAAACGGAGCCATTTAAAATATATACGTATGTTTGTGGGTATGAATATATGCATGTATTTATTTATTCGCTCTAAAAAGGATGGAAATAAAGAGAAGGGAAGGTGCTCTCCTTCCTTTCCCCTGGGAGACCCTAGAAGATGCCTCCAGCTGCTCAGGAGCAGCCAAAGCAGGGCGCTGGGCCGGGGTGAAGAGCAGCACGCAGAGCTCCTGGTGCCTGCATCTCGGGATGGAGACCTTGGGATGCCACATTTCCTCTAGAAAAGCCTTTCTGAGACTGGGATAACTTTAAATAAATCCTCATATCAGTGCATATGTGTATGAAAACCTCTCTAAGGGGTTTCTTAGGATGGTAGGAGTAAAACGTGGTTCCTGACAAGGCTCTGACAGGGGGGCAGGCGCGTGGCTTTTTGGGTCCCTGCACCCCTTGCCTCTGACTCTCTGGGACACGGCCATACAGGTGGCCAGAAACTCACCCCGGGCTCCCAGGAGCTTGAAAACTGTCCAAAAAAAAAGCAAACCATAGTGGGTTAAGCCATCGCCATAACCCTCTGTGTGGTAAAGGATGTGCTGGAAGGGCTGGAGGCCGTCAGGGTCCCCCCAGGGGCTGGATTTAAAGGCTGCCAGATTGCTTGGCCTGGTCTGTCCTATTGTTTGAGATCCTCCTCCCAAATCCTGAAGTGAGCGCAGCCAGGCTTTGTCACCAAAAGCATCCCTGGCACAGCAGAGCTGGGTGTTGGGATCCCATCCTCACCCCCCTGAGCAGGGCTGGAGCTCCCCAAACCTGTCCCGAGCAGTTCTTTGGAGAAAAACCATAAACACGGGGTTGTCTCACCACTAACCCCAGCCTCTTCCAACCCACATGTGCAGAATAACATTGCACAAGCTCTGGCCAGAGGCCCTGTTCTGCCCCGGAGCCGTGGTGCCAGTGGGATGCTGAGCTTGTGGGGCAAGGAAGCGGGACGCGGGGGCAGAGACCCCTCAAAGATACCCATAAAAAACCCACCCGATGAGCATGAGCTGCAAGGAGGGGTGGGTTTCTACCACGACCAGTGGAAACAGGTGACACCGAGGGTGAAAAATCCAAAAATTCACACCCGTACAGCTCCCATCCTATTTGCCCCGTCCTGGGGCACTGCAGCTCCCCCGCAGCTGCCAGCTGGACTCGCTGCCTGCAGGAAAACAGAAAGGAAATCCAGCTCGAACCATTTGCTTTTCCATCTGTGCCAGCTGGTTGTTTAAATCACCCCCAGCAGAGAGGTTTGGGGCCGGATCCAGGAGGAGTTTGGACAACTGGAGAGCTGGAGGGAGCCAGAGATTGCTCTTGAAGCAGAGCAGAAAGCATCTGAAAGCAGCAGGAAGGGCAAACGGCTCTTAAATAAAAGGGCCTGGACTGCAGGAAAACATACAAAGCGGCACGTGGAGGACGGCAGCTCGAGCCTGGGGTAGCCAAAGGGCTCCTGGGATGGGGGTGATAGGATAGGACCCCCCCAGTACCCCCCTTGCTGCTCGTCAGTGCGGCAGCGTGGCTTGCCGGCTCTCCCAAATTATGGTGACTTTCTTGTTCTTAACTCGATTTCTTGCTGGTGACAGCAGCGGCAAATTGGTCCCAGCTGTTCTGAGCACCGGAAGAGAAATTAAAAAAAAAAGAAAAAAAAAAAAAGAAAAAAAAAAGGAATTAAAACAGGGCAAGTGCCAGGGGGCTTGGGGGCAGGGTCAGAGGGGGGACTTTGGGGCCAGGGGCTGGGTGGCGGGGCAATGGGAGATGCCCGACAGGAGCAGGGGGCCCAGGGTTTGGGCTAATTAACACCAGCCCGTGCTAATTACCCATCGCTTTCATTTCTCAGCCCAAGTATCCGCATGAACCAAATCAAGCACCGTGCACGCTCCCTGGGATGTCGCTTCTCTCATTTTTATTACCCAACCCTGTGCTCCACGTGGCGCGATGGGAACGGGTGTGGGATACCACCGTGACCCCTGCTCAGGTGTCTGGTGGCCTTAATGAGCCAAATGTCCCCCAAAATTGTCCCTGCACGCTGCTGCTGGGCTGCTCCGAGGGGGTTTCACGTCACGGTCCATGCGTCCCATCACCCTGCCGTGGGGACTGCGGGGTTTGGGCAGGGATCCTTCAATAATCAATGGGATTTCGTCTCCCTTTGGCACTGAGGAACACTGGGGGGATAGGAATGGAAACTCTCAGCTCACAGAAGTCCCCGAGGGGCAGAATCACGTCCCACACACAGCTCCTGTCTCTCCGTTTGTCCCCGTGCCTCCCTTTGTGCCGCCCGTCACGCACACTGGTGTTATTTTTCACCTCCGCCGGCGTTCCAGCATAAGAGGAATAATTGAAATACCGATTAAAAAAAAAAAAAAAAAGCAGCCTAAATCTCAATGCGAAGCTCACGTCGAGCACATCTCTGACATTTACGCTTTCCTGGTTCCTGTGCCACTCGCAGAGCCCCAGCCCCTGCGGGCACGGCCCCGCTGGCGGCCACGTGAGGGCTTTGCAAACTCTCTCCCCTCGAGGTTTGCCTCGAGCTCTGCGAAGGAAGGGAAAAACAACCCTTCCCTTGGCTTTTGAGGGAGGGGCGGCGAAGATTCTGCTGGCGCTCCCAGCGCCATCCATCACGGCTCCAAACACGCGAGACGATCGCTGTAAAACCGGCTTTGGCTCCACCGAGGAAAAAGAAAAAAAGAAAAAAAAAAAATGGAACGTGCCTGTTGCAAACCACCACGGCACAAAAAAAAAAAAAAAAAAAAAAAAAAAGCCTTACAAGGCTGGGGCAGCCTCCCGGATTGATTGCTTTTTAATCCCCAAGTAAAGGTGATAAATCTTGTTATTGGAAGCGCCGCTGGGGATGCTGCGTGGCCCGGATTTGCTGTGCCGCTGCGCAAGCGCCTGCCTGGAAAGGGTTTGGGGCCGGCGGGTGCTTCAGCGGGACCCGGCTGCTGGAAGGGGGCTGCTGTAAATCTCAGAGGACGGATGACAACTTTTGGGAAGCGGCTCTTTGGAAACGAAGCTGTTGGAGAGGGGCGGTGCGGAGCCCGAGCTGGACACATGCCCCGAATTGCAGGACAGGGATGAGTTCCCTGACTTGTAGGGACAGGGATGAGTTCCCCAATGCAGAGCGAAGACCTGGAACAAACCCATCCACCAACAGCCACTCGCTTTCCCAGCCCCTGTCCCCACCGTGTCCCTCTGCTCCATCCCACCCAGGCTCCGTGATGTCCTGAAATATCATCTGGTGACATCTCCAGGTGACATTTTGGGGACCCTCCATCCACCACGGCCATCCTGCCCCAAAGGCTGGCTGAGCCCCGACCGACCACACATGTGGGAGCTGTGGGGGGGTCCCTGCACAGCCCCCAAACCCCCAGCCCCATCGTTTGGCCCCGGCGGCAGCGCCGAGCCCTGCCTGAACATCAGCAGCTCACCAACACCCCGGGCTTCAACTCACCGCCTGTACACATCCCCTGGCAGGAGTAATCCTCTGATTTATCCCGGGGGATTTGCAGCCAGGGAGCAGCTCCGCTCCTCTCCTGCAAGCCGCTCTCCCCTCGGCGGGACAAGGAGTCCTTTTTCTAAGTGTACTTTTGGGAAATGAGGCAGAAGCGCTCAGTCACCAGCCACTTATTTTTGAGCCAGGCGTAAGCGCTTGGCTGAGCCCCCGGCACGCGGCTGGGAAGGTGCCACGGGGCCACAAGTGATGCACGGGGGCTCGGGGTTGTCCCCTTGTGTTGTCCCAAAACAGCCGGAGGGGCAAGGTTTGCCCTCAGATCTCCACCCAGGAGATGCCACAGCCGTGGCTTCGCAAGGATGCTTCCCGAGGTGCTCCAAAAAACAAAGCACCCCCCAGCAGCCCCACCGGGCAGGCACCACCACGCTGGGATCTCACCAGCAACTTCACCTCCTGCATTTAAAGAACAAATTCGGGGTGGCCAAGGAGGGGCAGAGGGGACATCGGGAGCGTGGCTGCGTCAGGGGACAGCTGGGGACGTGACCGAGAGCCCGGTGCACTGACCCAGGGCATGAGGGACCCGAAGCTCTGCGCAGGCTGCGCAATAAAACGCTATCGACTGCCCATTAAAAAGCCATTCCCTGGAGGTTTCCAGGCGGGGAGGTGCCTGCACGGGGCATTAACAGCCATCAAGGAGGCATCTGTCACCTCCACCCTGGGACCGGGAGCAATGGGAGACGGAGGAGGGAGAAACCAGGAGGGGATCGATGCGCTTTGCCACGTCGACGTCCTCTGGAGAGCAGCTGGGATGGCCCTGAAATGTAAAGGTGGCTGCAGCCCTGCGCGCGTCCTCACCCTACAGCGCACAACAGGACCCCAAAGGGATCCAGTGGGGATGGGGAGCTTGGAGGGGACCTGGCTGCGCTGCCTCCAGGCTGAGGCTGGGCTGATGCGGTGAAGGAAGGAGCCTGCGAGCCCAAATCCTGGCCAGAGAGCAAATGGGACTGGAAAAGTCCTATGGGAAACATCCCAGCCTGTTTCGGAGCCCGGCTATCTCATCCCACGGGAGGACTTGGTGAGCGCCTGGAAGCCGTCGGCATCGATCCCAGGCAGCAGATCGATCAGCCCCTCCAGCCTGGGGGAACGTGGCCAGCCCGCCCGCCCTCGGTGGCATTTTGTGACATTTCCCCAGCCGTGTGGCTGGGGACGGATCGATCACCACCGCCCTGCAGGCAGCGGGCTGCCCGCGGCCCCGTGCGGCGCGGCGAGCAGGAGCGGTGCGCGACCCCCTGTGGGAAGAGGGCCGGGTGCTGGGAGCAGAGCTGGGACCCGGGGGATGCAATCGGGGCACAAATCAAGGGAATTTTAACTCCGGGATGGGAAATTTTGGGGGGATCGCTGGCGTGGCCCTGGGGGTGCCCTGGCCTTGGCTACAGGAGAGGGCGCACGGCACGGCGAGGGACAGCCACCACCACCCCGGAGCTGCCAAGAAAACCATCCTGAGGAGAGCATGGAACAAACCCAAAAGGTGGGCTCTCCTCTCCATCGCCCAGGTGGCCTGCCAGGGTGCAGGGGGGATGCTGGTGGAGCTGTCCCCGTGCCCCCCGCCTCCCCCAGCTCCTCAGCAGAGGGACGTCGCCTGCGTGGCCGCCTGCCCCCCTTCCATCTCCTCCATCTCGTACTCCTCGCCGTCGGACAGGGGCAGCCCGTTGGCTCCGGGCACGGGCTCGCACTCGGTGCTGCGGGTGGTGCCGTGGGTGACGCTGGGCGAGTATTTGCGCGAGCCCGGCGGGCGGTGTCCCGGGTGGCACATCACCTCCTTGAACATCTCGCGGAAGCGGGTGGACATCAGGTTGTAGAGGATGGGGTTGGCGGCCGAGCTCAGGTAGAAGAAGACGCCCGAAATGATGTGGACGTACTGGAACATGTGGAGCATGCGGCCGGTCCAGGTGGAGACGAAGCTCCAGACCAGGCGGTCGGTGTGGAAGGGGGCCCAGCAGATCCCGAACACCACCACCAGCACGACTGCGGGGAGCAGGGGGGTGGTGTTAGGGGAGGGGGACGAGGCTCACCAGCAGCACCACCACCACCCCTTTTCTGCCTAAGGGACCTGAGGAGAAGGTTTGGATGGGCGAGGGGATGTGGGTGTGAGAAATAAAGCCTCACACCACTGGTTCTGGCCACGGCCCGTGGGGTCCTGCCCCATTTCGGCCTCAACTTCGGCAAGTGTCACCCTGCTCCTGGCCGAGTCCAAGGAACAAGGGCACACAGCCATGGGACAAGGGGATGCTGCGGTCCAACTTGGGGTCAGAGCCTCATCACCATGGGATGGAGCAGGGCAGGAGGCCACCACGGCACCCCAAGGCTGTGGGGCACAGGAATCCGGGCTGGGGGGCAGAGAGGGGAAGGTCCCCACACCCCAGCCCTGCTCCTTCCCCTTTTGCTCTCCTGGATGAAGGGGGGGTCTCACAGCCAGGAGGGAGCCAGCACGAGCAATCCCCACCACAGGACCCCATCCACCAGCTCTGCCTTTACCCCGACACCCCCCGCACACCACTCCCTGGCCCCCTCCTCTGGGATAACCCAGCCTCAGCACCTCCGCGCCGGCCGTGCCTCAGTTTCCCCCCAGCTCCCTCCTGACACCCCTGCTGGCTCTGCCCGTCCCCAGGCTCGGACTCACACAGCATCTTTGTGACCTGCCTCCTCTTCACCTTCTTCTGCCCCCGGCCGCCGCGGTAGTCGCCGTCGCCGCTGGACTTGGCCCCCAGGGCCTCCAGCATCTTCTCCTTCTTGAGCTGCAGGCCGATGAGCAGGTAGAGGACGCTGATGGTCCCCATGGGCAGGAAGAAGAAGACGATGGTGGTGATCTGGATGATGAGGTTGTAAGTCAACCGCGGCTTCACCAAGGTGCAGATCTCCGAGTCGGGCACGCGGCCCCGGCCCGGCACGTAGAGAGGCCTCAAACCGTGGAGGCTGGTGTTGGGGATGGAGCAGAGGACGGCGGCGAGCCAGATGGCCACGATCACCCTCTTGGCGTGGTTCCTGGTCACCACGTACTTGGCCTTGAGCGGGTGCACCACGGCGATGTAGCGCTCGACGCTCAGGGCGGTGACGTTGAGGATGGAGGCGAAGCAGACGGCCTCGAAGAGCAGCGTCTTGAAGTAGCAGCCGCCGGCGCCCAGCAGGAAGGGGTAATTGCTCCACATGTCGTACAGCTCCAGCGGCATCCCCAGCAGCAGCACCAGCAGGTCGGAGACGGCCAGGCTGAAGAGGTAATAGTTGGTGGGCGTCCTCATGAAGCGGTGCCGCAGGATGACGATGCAGGTCAGGGTGTTGCCCACCGCCCCCACGGCGAAGATCAGCAGGTAGACGACGCAGACGGGGACGAAGAAGTTGGACCGCCGGGGCCCCAGGTACTTATCCCGCAGCTGCTCCTCCGTCAGGTTGGCGTCCTTGGGGTCGAACAAGGCGCCCGGGTGGCTCCTGTTGCAGAGAGCTGGGCTGAGGGGCTCGGCGGGGAAGTCGCGCTGGGGCAGGGGCAGCTCGGGGCCGGAGCAGTTGATGTAGGGATTCATGGCTGCGGAGAGACGGGGAGGCTCGCAGGATGGTTTCCCAAATCCTTTGTTGCTCCTGAGCCCTCTGCCCCTCTCCCCTCATCATCAGCAGGGTGCCAAGACTGCTGCTCAGCACCCCCAGCCTGCCCTTCCCCTAGGAAACCACCCCAAATCTCCCTAGAACCTCCCTTCAGGGTTCCCACCCTCCCCTTGCCCTGTTTCCTACCCGCAGACACCGCTGGCAGCTCCCCGACCCCCTGCAGCCCCTTCACCCCACCTGTGGGGACACCTCGGAGATGGGCACCCCCTCTCCCTGCTCCTGCAGCAGAGCAGGATACGACCCCAAAGCTGGCCCCAAACCCATCCCCGAGCCACGCCACGCATCGATCCCGGCTCCGACTCCCCTGGCTGCGCGGAGGGGCAAGGGGAAAAGAGCCGAGGGGAAAAATCCCTCTTCCTCCCCACGAAGGACTTACGTCTCGCCGGGAAGCTCCAGCCGAAGGACGAGGTCCCGGCACCCCTAACGCCGGACGGTCGGGCGGGGAAGGGAGCGAGGGAGGGGATGGAGACGTCGCTGCCTTAAGAGGCAGGCTGGAGAAATCCTGCCTCTGCTCTCCCCTCGGAGCAAGCTGCTGCCCTTACCCACGGCTGCCTCCCTCCTCCGTCAGCGGAGAGGCTCCCGGGGGAGCTTTTGGGGGGCTTCCTCCCCCAGCGCCGCGCGAGCCGAGCTCGGTGCCGAGACCGGGGGCTGGATCCTCGGTGGCGAAGCGGCACGGTGGCGGAGGAGATGCTCTTCAGGAGGAGAGAGGAAATACGTTAAAGTAATAAACTCCATTGACTCGAGAGAGTCCCGGGGGAGGGCAGCGCGGCCGTCTCCATCCCCACCGGCAGCCTTCGCCAGGCGGTGATGTGCCATTTACGTGGCCTCCGTGGTGAGCGAGCCATCGATCGGCCCCGCTGCTCTGCCGGCGCTGCGGGGGCCACGGCAGCACCGAGTTGGATGGGGTTGGTTGGGGATGGGGGTGCGGGAACTCGGGGGGGCTCCTTTCTATCCGAGGTGAGCCCTCCGGCTCAGCCCCTGGCAGCTGCTGCGGGGCAGGAGGCTCCTTTCCCACCTGGTGTAGAGGGAGCTGCTCCCTCCTGCTGTCTGTCTGTCTGTCTGTGCTGCTTGTTCGGATCACTCCCCCCTTGCCCACCCTCCTGCGTTGCAAGGAAGCAGCCCAGCTCTGCAGGCAGACACACAGACACGCAGACAGACACACAGACAGACACCCCACACCTTCCCGTGTCCCCGCACACCGTGCCAGGCTGCCTGTCCCCTCTCTGCCCCCACCCCGCAGAACCCCTCTCTCTCCTGGAACACATCATTTTTTAATATTTTTATTATTTTTTTAATTTTATTTATTTTTTTTAGCCCAGTTTCAGCCCAACTTCCAGCCCGAGGAGCAGCTGGGCACCCACTCTCACCTCCCAGATCCTTCCCAGTGGCTCTTTTGGGATGCCCACTTCCCATCTCCCCGGTGCCCCCCATGCCCCCAGCTCGTCCCACCCACCTCCATCTCCTTACTGCAGAATTTGGAGCCTCCCCTGTCCCCTTGTCCCCCCCTTAGGACCTCATGAGGACATGGGGAGGGGGTCTGGTGATGGGGGGGCTCCACAGCTCCCCATGAAGCCGGATAGTTTTCCTCTCCAGTTTTGGGACACAAAGATCCTTGAGGGTGCCGTGGAGCCGTGCCCAGCTCTGTCCCCACCGGGTGACGATGACGAGGAGGGGAGGAAGGCTGCGGGGACACCGATGACACCATTGCCGTGGCACCGCTCGCTGGTGCGGCTCTGCGGCTGGGCACGGCGCTTCTGCTCGGAGAAATTTCGGAGCAGGAGAGGGCTGGAAGGGCAAAGGCAGCAGGGGACGGCTCGGTGGCCCTGCGCTGGCCCTGTGCTGCTCCTGGCAGCAAACAGGCTGCGAACAGAGGGGAACTGGCAGAGCAAACACGCAGAGGGCAGGACGGGGCCAGCGCTGAGATGTGACATTCCCTGGCAAGCCGTCTCCCTCGGCTGAGCCGCAGGAGCCAAAGGGCTGGAGGGCAAACGGGCACGACCAAGGAAAAATCCACCCCGCTGGAAATCCTGGCTGCAGAGGGAGAGAGGAGGCTCTGCCCGCAGCCAGGGGAGTGGGGAGGGCAGAGAAATGTCCTCGGTGGGGCCGGGGACAGGCTGTGCCACCGCACGGTGCTGGTGACAGCAGCCGGGCGCTGCTGGCAGAGGCTCAGCAGACGCCGGGGTGGGTGGCAGAGCCAGGGAGCTGCCAGCAGCAGCAGCTGATGGGCACAGGTTTCTGTCCCTGTTCCCGGCTGCTGCCACAAGGCTGCTTGTTTTTTTTTTTCCCCTGGGGATGCCCGAGGCAGGGATGGATCCGTGCCGGTGCAGGAGCAGATTGTGCCGCAGCGAGGGCGCACCGGGGAGGAGGCATTCCTGGAAACCTATTTTTTGGGAAGGGTTCATGGCTCCCAGCGGCTGCACAGTCACTCCCCACTTCTTTCTGCTCCTTGCCACGACCCGCCAGCCTCTTCCCCTTCTCAGGCACTTTATTAAAACCTTGCCTGGTTTTCCTTGGCACCTAAACCCACTCCTCGCTGCAGCCTGATCTCCGCTGCGCTGAGAATTTGGGCATCGAGCAGCAATTCAGGGAAACCCCTGCGTGCTGCCCACCCCCCAAATCTTCCTCCCTGTGGTCTCCCCCCCCTGTGCGCACCCAGCCTTTTCCGTGAGCTGTCCAAGGGCAGCCGAGGTTGTCCCTGTGACCGCTGAGTCCTCGAGGTGCCGGTAAAGGCTGGCGCCCAGAGGCTGAGCGAGGCTCACGCTGCCCGCGGCATCCTCAGGGGAATTCAGAGGCCGAAGGAGAGGCCAAACAGCGCCTTTGAAGCTGGAGAGCTGCAGCCCTAATAACCGCCTGCATCCACTCTCGGCTCCTTTCAAGGGTGCATCACTCATGGTAATTGCAGGGAAGATCAGCGCTGCCTTTTAGCTCCCCGTGTCTCTTTCCCCTGCCTGCACAGGGCTTTGCGCTTTTAATTAACGCCTTCTGCTCCCAAGCAGAGAAAAAGCAGCAAGCCCCAGGGGTGGTAACAGTGTCTGAGAGGGGAAACTGAGGCACGGGCAGTCACTTGTGCCCTCTGCGGTGCCCTGCAGCGGGTGCCAGCCCCAGCCGTGCGCCCTCACCGCAGTGAGAGGATGAGGATGGGCAGCCCGTGCGCAGGGCATCGCCCCCGAGCAAGGTCCTGGCTGCAGGGTTCACATTTACCCGTGCCCCTACACCTGCTGCAGGGGGTGGGCAGTGGCTGTGCCCATTTTTCTGAGCTGATTGTACTTTGCCAAGACCCTTTAAAGGGCATGGATGCCTCCATATGTGCCGAGGGGTGTAGAAAAGGTGCCCTCATTCCCCCCGGGGCACCCAAACGCATCCCTGTGGGGTCAGCACTCAGCCCCCTCCCACCCCCTTGTCCCTCTGAGAAACCACAGGGAGGGGGCATTTCTTTTTTTTTCCCCTCTAAAACTGGGCCAAAAGGAGAAGGGAAATAAAGAAAAGGGCCATTTGGATGTTCCCGGGGATAAAAGTAACCAGCTTTCCCGGGGACAGCGGAACCGGCCTCCGCTCGGGTCTGCTGGGGGGCCGGGGGAGGCGGGCGCCCTCGGAGCAGGAATTGGGGCTCCATGGCAACCATAATTTTGCTAATCAGGGCCGGCACAGACGATGTGCTTTTCCACCTGGCAGGAGAGCCGGGCTCTCGCAGGTCTCCATCAGGCCGAGCTGCCCGGGGATGCTCACGGCCGTGGGTAGGGGAAGGGCTGGGGGCACCCGGAGCATCCCAGCAGCTGGAAATCCCCTGCCCAAAGCCAGAACGAGCTCGGGGGCACCTCGGCTACAGCAGGACCTTCTCTGGGGCACGTCGAAACGGAGCACAGGTCCCGAGCATCGTGGAGACAGTTTATGGGCTCTATTTATTCCTCCTCAAACCTCCTCCTCTGTGAGTCATCAAAAGCAGATAAATAAATGGCACAGCGTGGGGACGGCCTCTCTCCCCAGCCCCGGCTTCGGAGCCACTTTGCATTCACGAGTTGATTTAAGGTGCCGGCTGGGGCTGCCGGATTGATTGCCGGGACATTTATTAGCTCTTCTACCCAGCCGGGCCCTGTGGTAAATATTCATTCCCTCCCCTGCGCATCGCCTCTCGGTGCCCAATTCGCAGCCGTTTAAATGGGACCGGGGAAGAGGCTTTTGGCTGGAAGGGAAAAAATAAAAAAAATAGAAAACACACAAACCAACACACTCAAGTTCTGCAAAATCTCATTTGCAAAGAACACCGGGCAAGGAAATAACGTCTCGGTGATTGGATCCCATTTGCCACGTAATGACTCACTCTCCAAGTCGAGAGCAGCCCCACCAGCCATAAAGAACCACCGGCAGCATCGAGACACGGCAAATAAAGGCAGAGGCTGGAGGGAGAGCAGCCCACAGCGGGGCCACGCGTGCCCTGATGCCCTTTGCAGATGGGCACGGAGATGCTCAGGCTCCAGCACGTGGCCAGGCTGAGGGGCAGGGGCACGGGGATTTAATTGCTGTGTTAATGGCCCCGTGGTTTTGCCCCACGCCTGCTGCTTTGCTGGATTTTGGGAAGGAGGGACGGGGTAAGAGGGCAGGTGGGGAGAGGTGTGTGGATCACGGAGAGGGTCCCACTGACTGGTTGGTCCCCCCACCACCCAAAATGTCCCAGCACATCCCAACACATCCCAGCACTTCCACCACGTGCAGACCCCGGTGCTGGGGATAACGGGGGGGATGTCCCATAAAAGCCAGATTTGGGGCCTCAGTGAGACCCCAAAACATCCACACCCAGCTCGTGGTGGTGCTGCCACATCCCCATGCCCTGCCTGCCCCTTTCAAAGCCCTTCTCTAGCAGCCACAGAGGTTGGTGGCCAGGCGTAGGGCAGGATGCTCTCCTTGGACCTTCTCCATGCAAGTGCCACGCTCTGCTCCAGGTCATGGGATGGGTTTTCCCTTCTCAGCGCTCTTCAGGCACTGATAAACCTCAGGGCTGGGCTTTTCCAGGCTTGCTCTGCATCCAAAAGTTAGTTCAGCTGGAAAAAAAAATATAAAATGAAGAAAAAAAGTGGGACACACGCACACACTTTCATTTTTTCCAGAAAAAAAAAAAAAATTACGCTTCACCTCGAGAGACCAAAGGGAAGGCACACCATGAGCTCCCAGGGATGCCAATGAGGCGACTTTAGCATGGATGAAAATGGTCCCCAGCCCCTCGGTCCTTCTCCTCCTCCCTGTGCATCCCACCCGCCCCTTGGTGGCAATCACACGGGACATGGCACAGGGAGAAGGTGTCACCTGCACCTCCCGTGTCTCACCACCAACCACACTGGGATCATACCCGGGGTGGCACAGGAGGGGCTGAGCCGCAGTTTAATTGCGGCAGGAGTGGGAAAAGAGGGGGAACGTGGGCACTAACGAGCTGTGTGGGGCCGTTCAGGTCGGCAGGTTGGGATGAAAGCCACCCCGGGGCACCACAGCAAGACACCAGGCAGCCTCCGGGTCCTTGGCTGAGCCCTGGGGACAGCCGAGGGACGGGAGAAGATTAGGGACGGTAATTCTCTCTAAGTGGATAGAGATGAGAGTCTCTCAGCCTGATTTCCACACTCAGAGAGCCCAGCATGAATAATGAAGCATCCCACCTGCGAGCGCCGAGGATAAACCCAAACCCACGTCATGGCACGGGCGGATCGCATCCAACCGGTCCCATGGGATCCCAAAACGGACCGGAGGGCGATGGCTGGGCCCAGCTTCTGCAGGGTGAAGGAACAAGGCTGGGGGAGGGAAGGCACCCCATCAACCCACCCTTCTGTGCCTCAGTTTCCCCTTCACTGTCCCTGCCTGCTGCTGCAGTCCTAAGGAAATTCCTCTTTTCCCCCCTTGAGGTGTCACCCAGGCAGGCACCGTTCCCCATCCCACCTGGCCTGAGGGGCGCACGGTGCTGCAGGAAGCCTGCCACAAGACCTGGGGCACATTAATCCCTGCTTCCAGCACTGCTGGGACCAGTGGGAAGGGGCTGGAGGCGAGCCCAGCCTGGCTCAGTGCCCTGCCAGGAGCATCCTGGCACCCAGTGCCTTCCCGTGCCCCAAAGTCCCCGCACGGGGCACTTGTGGCTCCCCTGAACAGGCAGGATTAAACACCAGGGCTGGGATTTCCTCTCCCGGCCGTGCCAGGCTGCTCTGGCAGCAGAGCCAGGTGCTGCCTGCCTGAATTCAGCCCAAATCCCATCTACCCCTGGCTCTCCGAGTGCCAAAAAATCTCCCGGGTGCAGGCCAGGGGCTGGATCCCGCCATGCGCTCAGGTTCTTGCGCCCACAGCGGTTCTCGGTGGCTCAAATATCTCCCAAAAAAGGCACCCGATTCACTTGGGACTTCCATGAATCCCACCCCATGCGGCTGCAGCTAATGACAGGCTTTAAATAAACCAGTAAATTCTCAGCAAACACGAGAGATTTTCCTCTGGCACCCCGCAGCGTCGCCGGCGAGGTTTTTTCTCCGTCTTTCCCCCCGGCTCCCATCTGGCGTTGTTTCCACCCTGCCAGGGGAGCACCAGGAGCATCGTTCCCAACCTTCCCTTTCTGCTGCTTTGCCTCTGTGTTAATTTGGACAGATGACACCCTTTACCCGGTGTTTAGGGGGGAGCCGCTGGTTCCTCACCGGTGGTTTGGGTTGGGAGAACCCCAAAAGCCAGCGAGGAAATTTGGGGATGCTCCAGGCACAAATTGGGGGAAGCACGTGGGTTTTCTCCCCGGCCATGGGGCTGGGCAGGGTTTGGGGCAGCTGGAAGTGCTTTTTCCTGGTGGCAAAGCCCCACAAAAGGGTGACAGTCCCCATAGGGCCACCCATGTCCCGGCGCCCCGACGCCACGATGATGGGCGCACGTCGCCGGGCGGATTTGGTGACATTTGGGCTCCCTCTGGTGGAAACGCCTGGGAGCTCCGGCCTGGCCCCCCACTGCCCGAGGAGAAGCAGCGGTGACCGAAGGGGACGAGCAGGGTTTTGGGGACACCGGGGGGGACACAGAAATGGGACAGAAATGCCCCCCCTGGGGGCAGCAAGGGGCCGGCGGAGCAGCGCTGCGCGGGGGAGGCTGTGGGGACAGCGGCTTTGGGGACGTGTCGCCTGTCCACACGGTGGCACCAGGAGCCAGAGCGGTGTCCCCAGGACACGGGGAGCATTTGGGGTGCTGGCTGGGCCGCTCTGGAGCCCACAGCTTTTGTTGCAGGTGCTGGAAAGGAGAAAAGGGCCCCAAAGCTGCTCCTCGTGCTTCACCCCATCGCCCTGTGCACCACCGCTTGCTCCTGGGGGGCTCTCCAAGTCACCCTCCCCAAACCCCCTCAGCTTCCCCGGCACCCCACAAGGTCACAAACCATGAGTTTGGCTGATGATTCCTCCGTCCAAATCCTCGTGCTCCGCACCAGCAGCCCCCTCAGCCCCCACACACCCTGGGACCCCCCAAGATACCACCCCCTGGAGGCTCCCAGGTGTCCCTTTTATCAGCTGTGCGGGCAAAACCCAAAATGTGCTCACCTGGGTGAGTGGGATCGTCACTGTTTTGGACCTCAAGGCTCCTCTTACTGGGCTCCACAGCAGTCTGGGGGGTCCAACATTCCCAAAATTGTCCCCGTGCCACCGGTGGGGACAGGCACATGGCACCAAGGGGCCACCATCCCCCTGCCCAGATCCCCCCAGTGCTTGTCCCTTGTCCCCCTCTGTCCCCAGCCACCCCCACATCAGGGAGTGCCCCCCCAATTTCCCCCCCCATCATAGGGCCGCACGTTTCCCCGGGACCCACAGAAATTGCACGAACGGGCGGCTGGGCCATCGGCGCTTCTAAAAATAATAACTCAGACTGTGCCAAAAAAAAGAAAAAAAGCTGTTTTGGGGATTTTTTTCCCACTATTTTAATAAGAAGCGTTCACAGTCCCCTCAGAAGAGGTCCCACAGGTGCCCGGCCCCCCAGGGACAGCGAGTGGCCGCCCCCCCCTCCATCCCCAGCCCTATCCCCAGGGGGGGACCCAAATCCCCCCCTTGCTGTCACCATGGTGACAGTGACATCACGCGGGGCCCGTCTCGTAGCAACCTCCCGGTGACATCAGAAACCCTCCGGTTCCCATGGCAACCCTCGGGGCTGAGGGGGGGGGACACAGCTCATGGAGGGGGGGTCCCGGGGTGACCCCCCAGCCTCACCGCCCCCCTCTGAGGGGGGACCCCAAACCCTCCCCCTTCTCCGGCAAGGAAAGGGTTAATGCGCATAAATCTGCATATTTTAGTGACGTCAGCCCCGTGCCAGCCAATCACAGAGGGGATGGGTTTTGGGGTCGGGGGAGGGGGGGATGCTCTGCACCCTATTTAACCCCCCCCCCCCCCCCCAGCACCCGGTGGTCCCAGCCTGGCCCACCCAGCCCCTGGGGACAGGACCCGTGGGGGGCACCGTGATGGGTGGGGACCCCCCCTTTTGAGGTGCACCCCCAAAAACGAGCACCCCCTGCCCTATAAAACACCCCCGTGGGGCTCTGCACCCCATAATCAGCCCCCCGTGTGTCTCCCCACTCCCATGGGGTGACTCGCACGGCAATAGGGGCAGGGCGCAGCCCCCCGCCCGCCTCCACGTCCCTCCCGCCCGCTGTGACTCACGCTCTCCGGCCGCCTGTTTATGGGATGTGTTCCCAAAATCCCCGTGGAGGCAACGGGGCGAACGTTTGGGCTGCTGAGGGAAACCCCTCGGAGGTCAGGGAGGTGGCAGGAGGGGGACAAGAGATGGACCCCGTGTCCCCGAGGAGCTGGGGGTGGCACTGCTCCGACAGCTGGGTGCCTATGGGGTCGGGGTGTCCGTCCCCAAAAGGCCAAGTGTCCCCAGCCTGGAAAACGTCCCCACGCTGCCTCCCGTCATCCAGAGGTTGTCCAAGCCCCGCTGAGCCAGGGGACGAAGGCAGGGAAAAGGAGGAGGATAACGACCCAAAAAGGGTCCAAATATCCCCAAAGAGAGGTTCCCGGTGCGGGCATCCCGGTCCCATCTCCATGGGGGGGTCAGGAGGGGAGGACGGCTGCTCCGTGTGGTTTCCCAGTGCGTCTGTGCCCTTTGAGTCCCCACGTGGATGTGGAGGTGGTAAAATGTCACCAGCTGGGTGGTGGGGCCGGGGCCGGGAGCGGAAAATCCCAATAAAGGGTGGCCATTGTCTGGAGCCAGGCATGGGGCTGGGGAGGGGGGGAACCCGCTGCTCGCCCCTCGCCCCCGCCGCCCAGGTGCCCGAATGAAGGGGCAGCTTTATCCCCCCCAACCCCATGTGGGAGGCGATGCTGATCCCAAAACGTGCCCCTCGAGCAGCGGGGGAAGGCACGGGGACACCGTGTGCCGGCGCCCCGACCCGCTCGGCGCTGCAGGGCTGCTCTCCAGCCCCTCATTCCCACGTCCCCGATGATCCCTCCCAGCCCCTCCGTTTTAGGGCCTTTTATGGCCATCGGCTCCGGCGCCGGCAGATGCTTCCCGACCCAAACAATCCCTGCCAAACAGGGGCAGGGACGCAGCCGGGGGCACCTGGGGACACCCCCAAGTCCTTTCTCCGCTCCCTTTTGGGGGCTGCTCATGGCACGCCGACGAGTTGGCTGCCGTGCGCGGGGCTGGGCGGAGAGAAGGCTGATCCCAAATATTCAGCAAGGGTTTTGCGAGCTCCACGGGGTCCCGAATGCCCCCCAAAGCTCTCCCCAGAGCTGGCTGCGTGCGGGCAGGGGGAAAAGCAGTCCCACAGCCGCGGGATGAAAGGTGCTGCCGCAAACACCACCCCTAATTTCCTCCTCCGTGGTGTGAGCAATGGAACAGGTTCTTCGGTGAGCCCGTGGCACGGTGACAGCACGGGGAGAGGCCGGGCATGGTGCCAGCCCAGCCAGGCAGCACCGCCACTTGTATGGCTGGAAAGGGGCCCCGGGGACCCCAAATGTGCCCACGAGAAGCTGAGGTGGCCGGGGATGGCGAGGGGACCACGCGGGTGGCAACTTGGCCCGGACCCCCCAAGGGAGAATGTGCCATATGGATGTGGTTTCACGGGGCTGGAGCCCAAATCCTGCTGCGGGGACAGGGATGCCCGAGGCAAAACCCCGCTCCCAACCCCAAAGCGGGGCCCCAAATGGGGTCCCCGTCCCCGTTCCCGGGGGTGCCAGCGGGGCAGATGGACCGGCAGCTCGGCGGCACATGGATCCCGGTGTGAGCCCAGCAGCGGGCGTTGGCGGGGCGGTGACGCAGGAGACGTGTGACAGGAGAATTGTCGCCAGGCTCGGGGAGGGATCCAATCGCGCTGGGGTGCTCTCGGCAGATTAAGGCTTGGAAGGCTCCGGTAATTACTTTGCAGTACAAAAATAGGCCCGGCTTTATCCGGCGCCCTCATCTCCTGCCCTGCCCCGCCGCTCCCCCCACCCAAGGGCGAGCTGATGCCACCCAACCCGGCCGGTGCCACCTGCCGGTGGTGTTGCCAGCAGTTTTAGGGCAAAAGGGGGGAAAAAAAGAGCTCGAGGGGCTCAGAGGGTTGGAGGCAAGTGCAGGAGCAGCATCTGGGTGGCACGTGCGAGCCGTGCAGAGCAGGGGGTGGGAGAGGAGCTGGTGTCCCCGCGTCCCGGGGCAGCGTGCCAGGGGAGGGAAGAGCCTTGGGGATGGCAGCGGAGCAGATGTTTGGGCAGGAGAGGATGTCTGTAGGAGCATGCAGCGCTGCCCAGCCCTACAGTGGACCCAAAGGACGGCTGCTGCAGGCACAGGATCAATGGGGCAGTGCCCATGGTCCCCGATCCCTTTGCTTGGGGCTGGGGCCACGTGGCGCAGGGAGCCAGAGGGGCAAAGCGCACGGCACGCGCTCCCAGCCGGCATTCCCACCTCGTCCCGCAGCCTCCTGCACCAAGCTGCTCCTCACGGCACGGCCAAAACGTGGCCTCTCCGCTGCGTCCCCAACCCCACAGCACGCCGCCCGCCAGCTGCTGGGATCAGGACGGGGATGGAGCCTGGACGAGGCACCGCGGAGCACGCCGGGACCCGTAGTCTGGTGGCCAGCCCCGTTAGCCCCGCGGGCTCCCACCCCCATTCCGGCAGGAAGGGCTGTTGGGGGGCTGGGGAGGGGGCTGCGGCCCTACAAACCTCAGCTGGTTCAGCAGCGTGGTTGATATCTCCTCTTGCCAGGCTCGATCCAAGATCCCGGGAAGGTCCCCCCCCTCCTGCGAGTCCCTCGGTGCCTGCGCAGCGCAGCCCGCTCCCCCCACGGTGCCCCCGTTCCCGGTTCACAGTCAGGGCATTGGGGTGCAGAAATTACCAGCAAAACCCCGCATTTCTGCCACCGGCACCAAGTGACGCCAGCCCCAGGAGTCGCCCATCTGCCCCCCTTGGCCACTCGCTGCCCCCCCTCCTGCTTTCCTTTACGAGCGCCCCTAAAACCACCCCATGCAGAGCCCCCGTGCAGCACCCCCATGCCCACACTCTGGGCGCTCTGCACCCCAAATCCTACATCCCCCAAGCCTATGGGGGGGGGCCAAACCCCGTCACCCTCATCCATGGGGCTGGGTGCCCCCTTGTGCCCTACAGATCCCCCACCCCACTGGGATGCTCCGGGCACAGCGCCCCGACACCCCCAACCCTCTGACACCCCCATTTGTCAGCCTCCAGTATTTTTCCATTCCCCCCCCAACACCAAACCCTTTGTTCTGTGCAAATCCCGGCCCCTTCCCCACTAGAAGATTTCACACCCCCCTTCCCAAAAAAATAAAAATACATAAAAATCCCTTTTGGAAATTCCCCCCCAGCCCTGCAAATCCCTCCGGCGGTGGCGTGGGCTGGGGGGAACCGGGGGAAAAGGGGGGAAAAAATGATCCCCCCCCCCATGCCTGGCCGCATCCTAAACCCACTTGCCTGCTGCCCCCGGAGCCACCGGGTCCCGGAGCCACCGGGGTCCCGGAGCCGCCGCCGCCGCCGCTCCGGAGCCTCCCGGTGCCGGTGCCGGTGCCGGGGCCGCCGCTCTCCGCTCCTCCCCTCCCGCTCCCCCGGGCAGCCACCGGCGGGCCCTGCCGGGGGGGCTCCGTGCTCCCCGCCCCCGTTGCCCCGGGGAGGGGACAGGGGATGGAGAAGGATGCTGACCCCAAAAAAACCCCCCCCCAAAAAAACCTTGCTGCGAGCCGGGATGTTGTGGTCTCCCCCTCTTCCCCTATAATTCTCCCCCCAAATCTCCGCTCTGTGAGGTTTGCTGCCCCATCGGTGCCACCTTGGGGAATGGGGGGGTCCCTGCAAAAAAAAGGGGGACCCATTGCAACAGCTCCCCCCACCCCAATCCTGTGCAGGGGGAGAGGTTGCTCTGCCCTGGGTCCAGTGGGACCCCAAGCAGGACCCCAAGCTAAGAGCAGGGGTAAATGACCAGGGAGTATGGGGCAGGGGAAAGGGGAGCAGAGCCCCCCCAAAACCACTGAGGGTGTCCTGGAGCACGGTAAGGGACACGCTGGGACTGCCCCGAGGATGGGGGGAGCAGCAGGTACCCCGGCACCGAGCTTCCTGCACGAGCCATGGGGTGCAGGCGGCTTTTTGGGGAGGGATTACAGAGAGTTTGAAGCCCTTTTTTAGGGTTTTACTGAGAAATCCAAGCCTGACCAGCCCGGTTTGTTGCCTTGGCTGTGCCCCCCGCTTGGCAAAAAGTCACAGCCCCGTCCTTGCCCCCGAGGTGCTGCGGACCCCCCGCTCCTTTCAGCCCTCTCCGCGGCGGGGAGCGGATGGCCGCGCCGCCGCACGGCATCGCCGAGCTGCTCTGGCAGGGAAAAGGTAAGTGAAACCTCCCTGCCTCGCGCTCCGCCAGGGAAATCTGCACAAATCCAGCGTTATCCTGGCGTCTGGACAGCCCCGGCCCCTGGCACAGCCCGCGCAGGCTGGCACAGCCCTCCCTGGCCACCCGGCTGCTGCGCTGAGACCGCGCCAGCTCGTTTCACCCCCGGCGAGCGATGCCGCAGCATGGAGAGCCTTCGTCTGCAGGAGGAAGAGGAGGAGGAGGGCTGGGGGGTTGGTGGGTCGAGGGCCAGGCTGCCCCCTTAAACCCTGCAGGGGAAGCGTGGGTGCTGGCTCATCGGCTAGGAAAAGGGACAGCATGGCACACGGGTCCCCCCCGCCACCTCCAGCACCCCCAGACTGTCACTCAGTGCCACGGGGCCAGCTCATCACACCCGGTCTCTGCCCCCTGCTTCCCAGCTTGACTGGAGCTGTGACACCGGGACCACACGGCCCCGGGTGCCACGGCCCCGTAGGGTGACACGCGTGGGGTGGCGGCAGCCGGACGGGGCACGGGGCACAGTGCGTCAGGGAGGGAAACTGAGGCACAGGGGAGCAGCGCCCGGGTGGAGCGGGCACGGCGCTTCCCCAGAGCCGATGGCGGTGGAGATAAGGCTAAAAATACGCCGGGCGCTTTGTTGCTGGCGACAATAGCCCGCGGTATTTTTAGCCGGTGTGGCGTTAGCGGCGGGGACGGGGACGCTTCTCCCGGCCCCGCTGTCCCAACCCGCCCTCGGTGCTGTCGGGGGGCCCCCCGCGGCCCCCCTGGGGCTCGGGGCTGCTTCCCCGGTGCTGTGGAAACGGTAACGTTAGAAACTAAAACACAAACACCTCGCCCGCTGCCACCCCCGGCTGAGTCACGGCGCTGCCTGCTCCCCTCGCCCCTGCCGCCCCCCGCCGCCCCGCTCCCCCTCTCTCCTCCTGCCCCACCACCCCAAAAAAACCCGTGGCTGGCACCCCAAGGCCCAGCCCCGCTCCTGCTTTTGGGGGATTGCCCCCCCATGTGGGATGTTGGCTTCGCTTCCCTCCGTTCCAGGACTTTGGGGATTTATGGGGCAAACCCTGCTGGGTGGCATCGATGTCCCCAACCCCATGGCACGGGGACGCCCCTCGCTGCCCCACCGCAGGGCACCAGACCCCGAGCGGTGCCAGGCTCCCAGCACAACCCAAAGCCCTCGCCCCAAACCCTCCGGTGGCTGCGGCTCCAGCACAGCCTCCCGTCCCCAACCCGCTGCCAGGGATAAAAATAACCGGGCAGGAGAAGGGAGAGGCAGCGGGAGCCGCAGTGCGCCCTGCTACCGGGTCCCCTCTGCGTGGGGACGGCCAGGCTGGGGGGTTCTGCCCCCACCAAAGTGGGACAGCACGGTGCTGGGGTCCTTGTCCTTGACATGGGATGAGAGGGGACCTGTCCCACTTTATGGGGCAAAAGGGTTTCGCTGGCCCCCACGGGGTTTTGGGGATAATTTGGGGGCGCTGGGTGGCTGCAGGGACAGCCACCCTCCTTCTCCCATTCCCGTCCCCAAGCCCCCAGCACCCACCAGAAACCTTCTGGGTGGGAAAGAGCAGTTTGTGCTCAAGGGACGGGGCAGCGGCCACGCCGCCTCCTCCCAAAAATCCGGCAAAGGGCTGCAGCCACGCCGGGGGCGGGCGGCCGCGGCCGTGCCTATGTTAGGATGTTCTGGTGCCGAGGGCAGCTTGCGTCGAGGGCAAGAATTAATTAACGCTAAGCACTTTTGGACAGCGGCCCAGGCTCTTTTCGCTGTTTTCATTTCTGCCAGCTCCAACCGAGCCCTCCGGTGTCCACTGGGTCCGGGGTTAGCCCACGGCGTTGGGATGTCCCCGCTGGGGTGCGCGCACAGCTCCGGTGCTGCTCCCCGTTGCCAAAAGCGGCGCCTTCATGGCCACACCATGCCCGATTCCCCCACACCACCCGTGTTGGAGACCAGGGAGCGGCTCCACAGCCCCCTCCTTTCCCCCTCCCAGGCCTGGCTGCCTTTAAATTTAGCTTTTTTCCATCTCCGGTTGTGCGAAGCCGGGCTGGCGGCCAAAGCCCTGGCCGCCCCGCGCAGGACGCCAGCCCCGCGCTGCGTGGGTGAGCGGGTGGGTGCCGCGGGTGTGCAACGCGTGGGCAAGCCCAATTTAGTTATTTATTTATTTTTTGGGGGGGGCTGTGTGTGTGTGTGCTCGTGCTCGGTGCGTGCACGCGCACCCAGGATTGTGGGCAGAGGTGCACGCGCGTGGGGAGCCCCCCCGTGGGGTTTGGGGTGTGCCGGGGGCAGGCTCCAGCAGAGGGTGCCCTGCCTTTATGTCGCCCTGTGGGGACCCGATCCTGTGCCCCCATGGGGGGGGAACACGGGTTGGGGTGTCCCCAATGTGGGCTGGGGGCTTGGGGCTTCAGGCTGCCCCCCCCCAGTTCGTTGCCACCAGGCTGAGACCTGAGCAAACTCATCACATGGGGACGCAGAGATGAAGGAGGTGGCTAAGACCTAAGGGGAGGGGAGTGGGGATTTCTGGGGATTTCAGCCCCAATGACCCCACCGACTCCCTTCCCACGTCCCCACGGTCCCCAACACAAGGGGACAGCAGAGTGGGTGCCACACGATGGTCCCAGCCCCTCCCGGGACCAGCTCAGCCCCCCACCACAGCTGGAGCACAGCTGCCCTCCGCTCTTCATCCCGGTGCTGCTGGCTCTGATACCCCACGGGGGCATTTCTGCCCTATCCCAGTGACCTTGTCCCCACGTCCCCCATCACCGGGACTCTGGCTGCTCCCGGCGAGCTGCAATGGGGCCGGGCAGGAGGATCGGGGCCGCCGGGGAGCCACCCCAGCCCCGCAGCGCCTCCAAACCAGCCCGACCTGCCGGGGAGGCTGGACCTGCTCAGGGACTGGGATTCCCACGGCTGGGGCTCAGCACGTCTCTCCCTCCCCTCCTCAAACCTCTCCCCGAGGATGGGCCCCATCCCAAAAACCTAAGGGATATCCATAGCATCCCACGTGCCCCTTCTCTCCCCACTCCGGAGCGGGTGATGCTGCAGGGGTACCCGTGGGGTGCACTCGTCCCCAGTGGCACGGGACCTGCAGCCCGGCGTTTTTTGGCCACCCTGGGAAGAGTCATCGCGCTTTTAAGACAAAGAGCGGGGCACAAAGCAGCTTTTGTGTCCCGACTTGCGAGTTTTTCCTGCCTGCTGCAGCACGGCTTTGTCCCGGGACATGTAGGGGCACGAGCACGGCTCCGCGTCACGGCGGCGCCTGCTCCATGGCCGCGCTGCTGCAATGAGCCCCGAGCCCGCATCCCATAAAAGTGGATGGACCTAAAACGGGGACCTAAAACAGGGCCAGGGAGCAGAAGCAGCAGAGGCAGCCAGACCCCGCTCCTGGGTATGGGATGGGGACCTGGCCAGGGCATCCCCCTCCTGCCCTTGGGATGTGCCCAGAGGTGGGGCTGTGGGGGCACTTTCCCCGTGCCGTTTGGGGCAAGAGAGCAAGCCCCCTACCCACCCATCCGTCCGTCTGTCCGACCATCCGTCCCTGCCTTGCTGCCCCACCAAACCAGCATGCCCCGACCCCAATCCACCCTCCCTCCTCCAAATTTGCCACCCTACTCCTCACGTGGGGGCTCTCCGGGGGGGGTTCATCCCACCGCGGCGTGCGTGCCACCACGGAGACGTGTGAGCGGCGAGGGAACGTCCCCTTCCCCAGCAGCCACAGCCAGGCCTGGGACGAGCCCCTGGCTGTGGGGTGACCCCTCTTGTGCCCATCCCAGGCTACCCCGAAGCACCCCGAGGTGGCCATCTCCGTCCCCGTCCTTAGTCCCCATTGCCGGGGAGGCCGCTCCGCACGGGCGTCCCGCTGGCCTCCGTGTTTTCCCTGCAGCCTTTTGTGTGCGTGGCGGCGTGGCGGCGCACGGGGAGGCCGCATGGCGCCCGGCCTTCCCCACCTCCGTCCTCCTCCTCCTCCTCCCCCCCGATCCCCGCCTCCCCGGCCGCCATTTCGCAGCGCCGGCCTCGCTCGCTCTCCACATCATGGAGGACCGGCGTGGGGGGGAACAAAGAGCCCCGGCCTGCGCCCGTGCCCCCGGCCTTGGCGTCCCCAAGTCCCCTCCTGCCGTGCCCACGTGTGAGGAGTTTGCTCGGGCCTCAGCCTCATGGCCAAGCTGCTGCGCTCCCTCCTGTCCCCCCCCTAGCCCTCGGGGCTCGTCCTGCCCCGCTGCAGGGTCCTGTGGGGTCCCCGAGGGTCCCGACACGTGCATGGGGACAAATGGTGTGTGTGCACACGTGTGTGGCACTGCGGGCACTCGTGGGGCAGTTTGTGTGCACACACGTGTGAGATGGGGGTGTGCACACGTGTGGTCACGCACACGCACGCACAGATGGCAGCCAGCACCTGTGGACACGTTTACACACCATGCGTGTGACACCGCTGCCGCGTGGCACCCCGCACGCTCGTGTGTAACACCGTGCGCTCCCGGGCTGTGCGCACACAGCAGGCTGCGTGTGCGTGACGGCAAGGACATGCGTGTGAGTGTGCAAGCGTGTGTGGTTTGGGGTGTGCGTGGTGTGACTCCGCACGTGGGGCACACCCGGGTGGCACCCGTGTGGGCTGGGTCCCCCCCGTTTCCTCCCTGGCGTGCGAGCAAGTGCTCAGTGTGAGGCTGCGGGGCGGGCGTGCTCCGGAGGGGAAAAGGAGGGGGTGTGTGGGGACAGCCCTGTCCCCCAGGACCTGTCCCACCATGGGGACATGCAGCAGGTCCCTCGCTGGAGCTGTGACCCAGCAGAGGGGCCAAAAAGATGGGGCAGAGGACATGGGGGTGCCCCCCTGCCCCTGGTGGCTGCTGCGTGCCGAGCGCTGCTCCACTCCCGCTCCCTTCCCCTCCCCGGCGCCTTCCAGCCACCGACATCAAGGCACTTTGCAGGCATTAAATATTCAGTTCCCTTCTCCTTCCCCTCCCTGCGAAGGAGTTCAGCATGGCAATGAACCCCGTGCCCTGCGCCGGAGGGATTTGTCTGGGAGGAGGCTGCTCCGAGCCAGCCTCCCGCAGAAGTCCCCAGAGGTGGCCACGGGGGCTGCTGGTGCCCATCCCCGCGGCCTCATGCCACCTTCCCCCCTGCTCTCCTGTGCATCTCCCTGCTGCTATGTGGGGTTCAGCCCTCCCCACGTCTCACCCCAGGCTTGGATCCGGCCAGGAGGTGTCCCTGTTCCCCCGGGATCCCGTGACAGCGGGGACAGATGGATGGCAGCGGGAAGAGGTGGCTGCCGCAGCGAGGCAGGGACCGCATCCTGCACAGCGCCTGCAGCCGGGTTACGGCGAGGCCAGGAGGTGACAGCAGTGGCAGGGGTGCTTGTTTTTTTTTTTTTTTTTTTTTTTTTTTTGGTTTTCTTTTTGTTTTTGTTTTGTTTTGAGTCAGAAATAAACGTTCTAGCTGGGGAAAGAGAAGCGAGTTCTTCTGGTTCAGGAGGGCCCAGAAAGTGTCAAGCCACCACGGCTGCCTTCAAAAATCCTGGGCAAAATCCTAGCCCGAGGGGCTCTCCTTTTCTTTTTCCCTTCAGGTCTGTTTTCAGGCTTCCCTCTGTGACCGCAAAGACCAGGAAATGTGGGAGCCCAGATCCTGCTTGCGGGCCCACAGCACATGGGGGAACCAGGACACTCGGGAAAACACCGGGTCACGGGAACATCGCGCAGGATGCGCCCTGCATGTCCACAGCTTTTTCCACAAGGCAGAAGTGCCCCATAGGCTGGAATGGGAAATATCCAACGCTGGGGGGGTCACAGCCACGACGCCAGCAGGAAGGGGCATTGGGGACCCCCAGGAGGGTGCTGGGGTATGGCTGGAGCAGCCCCGTGCCAGCCCGGAGCAGGGGCGCGCCATCGCGCCATTCCTGCGGCGTGGCATCATCGGTGCCGCCGGAGTAATTGCAGCTGGGCTCGGTGCCAGAGCAGCGCTCAGCCCCCGTCAGAGGAGATAACTCCAGCCCCACGCACCGATACAACCCCATAATGCTCAGCCCCATTGCACTGCCCGGGGCTGATCCCCCCCGGGGCGAGCCAGCAGGGAGATAATGGGGGCACCCATGGAATGGGGGGGGCACACAGTGGGCACAAGCCCAGCTCGGGGGCCCCCTTTTCCCCGTGCCCCGCTATCCTGGCTTCATATGGCTGCTCAGCTTCCCGCTGCAAAGGCTGCCGGAGCGTTTTAAAAGCCTTCTTTCAGCCGGCTTCCTTCCTGGGAATAAACCACATCCTGGTGGTGCCGAGCGTCGAAAGCAAAGTGATGGGCAGCGGCCAAACGGGGCAGGCAGCGGGGCCGCAGCCTCCCTCCCTCCCTCCCGCCCAGCCTCGGCCTCATCCCCAGCCTCCCGGTGGAGGCGACCTGCCCATCCTGCCATGGGCACGTCCCAGCCGTCCTCGCCAAAAGGGATGTGCCAAAATCCCCCGTGGAGCCCCAACGAGGGGCCTGCCCCTGGCTTGGCACTGCTCTGGGCGTCGGACACGGAAAGGGACCCTTGTCCCCAGGCAGGGGGGGGGACAGCAGAGCTTAGATCCCCCCAGCTTATTTCCACAGAGCATGGAAAGGTTTTATCCTCATCATTTCAACCTAAAGCTCTTTCCCAAGGGTTGTTTTTTAAAAAATAAAATATTTTTTTAGATAAAACGGCACAAAGCAAGTGCTGCTGCATCTCAGGGTGCCCGCTCGCTGTCCCAGGCACAAGCTGAAGCCACCGCCCCTGCTGCGAGGTGGCACGGGAACACCACGGCAGCACCAGCCCCCAAAGGGATCACAGCCTGTCCTGCACGCAGGGCTTCTCCTCGTGGTGTGGCTTCTCCGCTGTCTAGTATGGGGTTGAGCAGCAGAGCTCTGGGCTAAAGGAAAGGAAAAACTTCTCCCCCTCCCCTCCCACCCCAAGTTGCGCACTTGGGGCAGCCCTACTGACCCGAGGGTGTTTACAGCTCCCTGCCCTCCTGTCCAGCGGGCTGGAAATTTGGTCAAAGTTTATTAGGAGGGCACCAGCCACACGGACACGTGTGTGTGTGTAGGCAAAGCGTGGCGGCGCGACCTTTGTTTTCTTCGGAGGCCGCTCTGGAAAGTGAGGCCACGAGGGGAGGAAGCAGGAAGGGGACTGGGTGTTTGTCCTCCCAGCTGCGCTCTGCCTCCAGCAGGGGACAGCTGCCGGGAAAGGAGGACACGAGGGCGAACGGCAGGAAAAAAAACAGGGATTTGCAAGGGAGGCAATGCCCCAGGGGGCAGAAGGAGCCACCGTGTCCCTCCTGTAGGGTGAAGAGGGGACAGAGCTCGGGTGCTGCGGGGCACGCACATTTCCTCCTCTGGGGCAGACGGAGCGACGCCGCTGCCTCCCAGCCAGCAGCACGTGGAGTCACAGGTCCCTGTAAGCTGCTCCCCTGGGGACAGCCACCACGGGCTGCACCCTGGGACGGGTTTGTCCTGGGACAGAGCAGCCCCGCTGGGGCACTGCAGCCTCCCCAAACCCACCACTGACCCCAAATGTGGCCAGGGAAGCGCAGCTTTCAGGAGGGACCACACTGGTGCCAAACCCTTGGACGCACAAACCTTGCTCCCCCTGCGGCCCCGCACCGTGGGTCACCACCCCAAATCATCCCCAGGCAGCTGGGGGACCTGGCTGTGGTGGCAGCAGCCACGGGGGCAACGTGGGGACAGCGGGGCTGTGCCATACGCAGGGACCCCGTGTCCAGCCCGTGACCAGGGGAATTACGGTGCTGCCCTGGCAGGAGCCTGGCCAAGGCTCTTGGTGGGCACCAGAGCGGTGTCTCAGGGCCAGGACAGCCGGCCACGGTGACTCAGAGGCGAGAAGGGAAATTCAGACTCACTCCCGCCCTCCGCAGCCCTCTGACCAGTTTCCTGGCTCCTTTCGGTTCGGTGTAACAGCCTGGCTGCCTCCTGGGCCCCCCCCGCAGGCATTGGGAGCCCCACAGCCGGGGCAGGATCCTGCGGTCAGCCCCAGCTCTCGCTCTTGCTCATGCAAACGGCCACAACAACAGCTGCCTGCACGTGGGGGCTCGCCAGAGCCTTGTCCCCAACCCCAGGGGACACCGTGAGCCCCACCGGGCGCATCGAGCTCTCTGGGTGCCCGTTGTGGGGTGCATCTCTCCGTAAGCACAGGGGTGGTTTATTGGGGCAGGGAGAGGTGGTGGCTCCACGGGGTGGCTGTGACCGATGTCCCCTCCGTCCCCTGCCCACGTGGGGCTGGTGGCTTTGGCACAGAAGCACCTCCGGGGCATCCAAGGTTGCCGTGGGTGGCTTCCCACAGAGCAAAGGTTGAGGTCTCTCCTCCTTCCCCCACACCCCCAGGACCCTGCCAGCCCCGGGGAGAGCTATATGGCCATGGGCTGTGTCACCCCCTCTGTCACTGGCATGCCTTAGGGAGCAAACAGCCAGCCCAGCCAGGAGGGAGGGCCAAACGCCACGTACCTGACCCAGCTCCAACCAGTGCCATCAGCACGTCCCTCCCCAGCTCCCACAGCACGGTTTGGGAACAAACTGGCCTCCCCCTGCCAGGGCTGGGGACGCTGCAGAAAGTGACCCGGGCTGGATGTGGTGCTGTCAGCTGGCTCCAGAATCGAGGTTTTTGGTTTTTAAGGGCGCAGCACAGCTCGCTTTGGCCAGAAGGCAGGGCTGAGGCTGAGCTGGGGGCTGGAGGGGACAGCACGAGGCTGTGACCACCACGCAGAGCCACCACTCGTGGCGGTGACAAGGCAGCAGGAGCTGCAGGGACACCCTGGGTCAGCTTCAAGCCATCCCCAAAACTGGTCCTGAGGGCAGAAGGGGTGTCAGCAGCACAGAGCTGCCAGGCTCCAGGTAGGGAAACTGAGGCAGGGGCTGGCCACACACCCCCTTCAGCCCCCCAGCTCCCATCTCACACCAGCACGCACCCCCCAGTGCCCCCCAAACCCACCCACAGGGAGCAGAACTCGGGGGTGCACAAACAGCACCAGCCCCAAGCCCCCCAGTTCCCAGCGACCCTACAATAACAGGAGCACCTCCTCCCCATCCCCACAGGCAGCGGGGTCACCACGCTGCCCCCACAGAGCCTAAACACCTCCAGCAGCATGCAGCACCCCAACACATCCTATATCACCCCAGCAGCACCCCACCCAACAGACCCTACCATAACAAACCCCCAGGTGCAAAGGAGGAAGGAAACCAGCCAGTTAGAAAAAAAAAAAAAGAAATAAAAAAAAGCCAAAAACCAACAAACCCAGACCCAGCACAATTGCAGGCAGGGCGAGCCGAGCCACCCCGCATTTATTGGGGTGCAGGAGGGATGGGAAATACCTGCCGGCAGCCCGCCACGCTCCCTCGCAGCCACCCCACTCGCAGGGCTGCAGTGCACAAAGGGCTCCACTTCCCCAGCCCCCGGTCCTATATATTTATATATTTCCCCCAACCCCACCCGGCCCTGATTGGTTGGGCCGGGGCAGCGCCGCAGGCTGGGCACCCCCCCCCGATGGCGAGGAGGGGGGAGAAAATAGGTAAAAAAAATATATAAAAAAAAATAGGGAGAAAGTGCCAAATTTCAGTCCCAAACACCGAAAAAAAAAAACCGAAACGCCGAAAAAATCCAGCCCCCTGTAGCCGACCCCTCCCCAGCCTCCGGGCCGGCCCCCAGCTGTGGTTAGGTGGTGGCTTATTTTTATTTTAATTTTTAAATTTATTTTTATTTTTTGTAGGGTTTGGGGTGCCGGCGGTGTCCGGGGAGCTGTGCTTTCCCAGCTCGTCGGCAGGGGGTATGCTTGTACCGGCTAAGGCAGCCCTTTCGGCCAGGCTGCCGGCCCCCAGCCCCGTCCCACCGGGAGCAGATCCTTTTTGGAAGCCCCCCTGCTCGGATATTTGGGCTTCGTGGGCGCTGGGCATGCCTTGGAGCCGGCTACAGCGAGAGAAATTGAACCACGGGGAAATGTCGGGCAGAGAGCCCAGGGCAGAGCCAGCATCCCTCTGCCATCCCCATCCCCATCCTGGGACAGTTTTGTCTCTCTGGGGATGCACCAAAGAGTTTTGGGGTGCTCGTCCCAGCAGTAGGGTCAGGGCAGTTTCCATCCCTCCCATCCCCTGCGCTGCAGAGAGGATGAGCGGGGCTGGAAAAACAAATGCGTTTTTCTGTTCCGTGCTGAAAACCTTTTGGAAAGTTTCCTGCCCCTCGGAGCTCCAGCACGGGTGCTTTATAAAAACATCCCAAGCTCGAGCGTGAAGCTCTCGTGACCAATTTTTTTGGGGTGCACGTGTGGAGCATCCCCCTTCGTCCAGCCACCAGGCTCCACTCTTGGCCACGCGGGGATGGGGAGCCACCAGCCTGTGGGGTCCATCAGGTGTCTGTGCATCTTCTG